CATGTGACTGGGTGGGCATGGCCAACTTGTAAAATGTGGTGAAACTCACTTAACAATGCTCTTGCTTAGCAACCAAAATGTTGGCTCAGAAACTCTTGGCATTTGAAGCATGCAAGTCTTAAAGCGGTCAAGTTACCAGACCCTTGCGCCCCTAACCCTTTAGAAAAAAAACCCAGGGGTGTTCAAACTTGACAGCTTTAAGACTTGCGGACTTCAACTCCCAGAATTCCTCATCTTGCTCTTCATCTTGATGATGTCCAGACAGGCGGGGGGAAGAAGCTGGAACCAGTTCTAAACAGCACTGTAGATTTGTGGAAACTCTTCTATAGAAGAGGTTAGAACTGGCAGGAACCCACTCCTGGCTGGGAGGTATAGTAATTGCTCAGAGGTAACTGGCACAATTTTGTGGACATGCACCTTCTCAGTCTGAGGGACTCAGAGATTTCCTAAGATATCCCCTAAGTTATCTACCAAAATTGACAAAGCATCCTTAGTTATATCACTTATCTAAAAGCCAAATTAGTTCAAATAATCAATATTAGCCGATGTTTCTACAGGAGTTGCAACCTCATTCCCTCTTATTCCCCTAAGTTACGGGTGTCAAACTCGTAGCGTCACGTCGTCACATGACATTTTATGACTTTTTTCCCTTCAGGAAGCTGGGGTGGCTGTGGCCTGCACGTGACGCATGCCAACCTAGGGCTGCCAGTTTGACATCCCTGTCCTAGGTCAAGAATAGTATTGTAAGTGACTGCACTACTGCTGCATCAGTGAGATGGGTGGCCGGAAAATTTAACAAATAAATAAAAATAAATAGTATATTGGAGACTGTGATGGAAAAGAGAATATCATTTTAGAGGTGAAGCACAAGTTAAGCTGCATGAAAACTTTAAGTATATGAGTCCAAATTAAAATTCAAATTAGAAAAGCTAATACTCACAGAGCAGGTGTCCCCAACCATTGGGACGCAGCTCACTACTGGGCGTTGAGCCATTCAGAACTGGGCTGCAGAAGTGGCAGGTGAGCGTATGCGGTGCGCACATTCCCACTTGTGCGAACAGCAGGCAAGCGTGTGCATGCATGTTCCATTTGCACAAGCAGCAAGCGCATGTGCCTAATGCTCGAGCAAAACTATCCCTTCTCTCCCACCTGCTGCTCTGCAAAGTCAGAAAAGGTTGGGAACTGAAGAATGTTTGGGCTGAGCATCACAACTTGAAATCTACTCCTCTGCATACCTAAGATATCAGTCTTTTTCTTTGTCCATTAGTAAAAAGATCTGTAGGGAGCTTACATTACAAAATCAATCATGCCAGTGGAGCTTCTGTCTACTCTCTCAGATCTCAAATTACTCATTACTCTAGGGCTACTATTAATGCTTTAGGAAACCAACCAACCAACCACCCTCCCTCCGTCTCTCTCTCTCTCACACACACACCCTGCCAACCACACTACCTGTTTGGCTTGTTTCCAAGAATCTTCCCACTGTTTTATCGTGCTGTTAGCTTCGTCTAATTCTTGCCGCAACCTGGCCAGTTCAGCAGCACCTGGACCTGACAGAAATGCAGGTGAAGTACTGGGTGAAAAACTTCCTGAAGCAAAATGCTCCCATATGCTGCTGTTCATTCCATTTAAACCTGTTTCACGTGGAGACAAGAAAAGCATGTTATTTCACATTTCTTTTGCTTGTCCCAAACTATTTTTTTTTTTGAAAACTAGGATAAAATGCTGCCATTTTTTTTTTTACTGGGCAACACTGCATCTGAAAACCGTTTGGGAGGGATATGCATATACGTGCACTATCAATCTGCCACTTCAGCTTTAGCAAAAGGAGTGGCAGCTGACCACCTTCTGCCAACAATGCCCAGAAGCAGTTTTGTAGTACACTTAATCCACAAATGCAGTGTAGATAGATACAGGATGAATTACCTAGTGCAGATTCACACAGAGCACATGAGGAACGAATATACCATAAATTCTCGGTAAAGGCTTAGGCTTCAGGGAACAGCAATCAGCGCACAGATGCTTAAGAACAAAATGAAACAGTCACCCATTATTTCATACTTTGTTAATATCTTTAGGACCATATTTGATGCCATGTTAAGTTAGATATGTTTAGAATTCTGGCATGATCGAACCCTGGCCTGCTGTCTTTTACCCGACCACTCCTGATTGGCTACTCTTGCTAGTGGGAACAGTTAAAGAAACCCACTGAGATCCAGCCATTAAATGCCAGTTGAAAATTCTGACTTGTTTAGCTCTAAAGAAGCCAGAATCATAACATACACCAAACTATGATTGATAACGCTATCTTATTAGGAAAGAAATAAAGAGACCTCAGTTCACACATTAAGGAAATGAGAGATGGAAGAATCTGAGTTTGTTTAGCTGTTTCTATGGGCAGAAGCCAAGTTAAAGTAGCATACAGCTAATTCATGATGCTGCCAGAAGTCTAAAAACTCGAATCTGAATATATGTTGGTACTTATTTAATTTTTCTCTACCCATTTAATTTTAAAAATACACACAACACTCTCTTCTTGGTATTGCATCCGCTATATCACAGTACCTTCCTTTTCATTTCAAATACACAATTGTTAACAGACCATTTCATGGAAAAATTATAATAGAGTATATTAAACTATAGCAATGTTATTTCTGTTTTGTTGTTTTTCAGCATCAACCAATTTAAAATAATGTAGAGATTGCCCTCAACTAGATCCTCAAAGGTTAATTTGAGAAATCTTGTCATCACAACAGACCAATGTGTCTTTAGATAAGGCACTGGAATAAGGCACAGAATCTGATAATAAGGGGAAAAGACATACAATCCACTATATTTTATAGTATTTAAAGTGTGACTGTAAAAATTCAGTATCACACAGGGATACTTCTAAGAGAAAAAGGACTGGCTAATTTGCCCTGCTGAGAACATTTGGATAGTAAAATTGGTTCATTCTTGAAAAGGATATAGGATAGTCTTCTGGATCTACTCCATTTAAGTCACAGCACACAATCATTCCATATCTGGTGGATATAAACTAATTATCTTCTGCTTTCTGCCAGAGATCACACAGAAAAATGGAGTGAAGTGTTTAGTTTTAGAATATAAGGGTGATACAGCAAGTATGCAGAACAACGGAGACTCCTTCCTCTAATAAGAAAGGATCTATTTCTTACCAAACATTTGCTCAGATAAGGAAAGATGCTGTAAATCAAATGAGTTTTAGTAGGTATCTCTCTGCTCTAGACAACATATGAAAATTGTTTTTTTTCACACAGACTATAGTTTTCTTTCAGTTTAAGTTTGCTGTTCAGCAGCAGTGCTTAAGCTATACTATAAAAAGCATGGCTATAGCCTTGAAATAAATTGGCCACAACAGAATTGCCAAATTGAAGGCACACAGTATTGCAGAAGAACTCAAAGCATAAAGAAATATGCTTGTAACAAAATTTATTTCTTAAAATTCTACATATTTTAGGTCATTCATCATGTTGACTTGCTATCATGTTACTGCTGACACTGTTTTCGTAAGCATGAAAGCTGTTTTATGTTTTGGCAGGAACAAAACTTCTGGAGCTAAATTACTCAACTGAAGATCATCTTTCCTTCTGCCCATTAGCCTTATGCAGCCCCTTATGTGAGATGCCTTTTACAGTGCAATCCTTACATGACAGCTTAGAAATCAATTCCACTCTAATTAAATGAGGACCTACATCCACGTCAGTGTGTACACAACTGCAATAAGAATAGCTCATATGCTCATTGCTGGAGATCTCTGTATGTATGTGATAACGGATGATGCAAACCGAGCACAGATATTCTGTGTGTGTGTGTGTGTGTGTGTGTGTGTGTGTTTGTGTGTGTGTATACGTACTCCTTTCAGGGAAAAGAGTTTTTCTGAACTGGGTATAATCACCTTATAGCAAAATCAATGCAGTTGTATTACTGTATAAGGATTCCTGAGAAATGAATCTTTTGAGTATTGATTTCAGTGTAATATATTTATTTAGGACCTTCAATCATATCCTATACTTTCTGTCCTTTCTTAAACATCAGTCTGTTCTGCAATCATCTCTTATAATCTGCCTGATCTGCCATCCCTACTTGCTAGAGTGTGTAAATTGCACAGGGCTGAAAATCAAAAGTGTTGCAATATATGGAGCATGAGTTTGTTCAAAGTAAATGATTACAGATGCGACAGACACGTATGACCAAACATGTGAAAACATATGGTCTCTTCATCCCACCTTCGAAACAACATTCCCGCCTTATTCTTTTATCAATCCTTAATTTTTAGTCAATTCTTAATCTTCTAATTCATATATCTTACCTATTGTGGAATAAAAATCGGTTATGCTATACAAACGTAGAAGAAATGGGGTAAATATTGGTTTGCGGATGTAAAACATTAGCCTAATTTAGTAAACTGAATCTAATAAGCTATCTACAACGCCTTTGTTGGTTTCAATGAATGTGTTTCACAGCATGACTACATCGGAGTCTGGTTGGTTACATATAATTAAAAAGATATAGTTTCCATCAAATCAAACTCAGTTCCTGATGATTATATGGAAATGTCTGCGTTGTCTCCTTGGTAACAAAAATAACTGGTTTGTTATTGTTTTCTTCTGGGATGCTTTTTAAATTTCTCAGTCTAACGTACATAGTGTATATATAATAGAAGCAGCACACTGCTCAAATTTGCAAAGTGCGCTACAGTTATTAGTACTTCCTTCATTAAACACAAAATGTGTCCCAAGGCCTCATTTTAATGCCAGAGTTCAATGTTAGAACATCTGATCAAATAATCAATGCTTCTATGCCTACTGATGTAAGATTAACACAAAGATAAAGCAGATGCTGCTTTAAAATTGACATATAAAGAGAAATATTTTGTTCAGGTGCTGTCAGAACATTCGTTTATAGGAATCATATTTGTAAGTGAAAGCAATATAGGTACAATATGACAAGTTTATTCTGAGTGAGTGAAAACCTTATAACTAAGGACATTTCACATTCATACAGTTTTTATAAATTATTAATAGACGCATCAGTAACCAGTTTCACTCTATTTGGGACTCATTAAATGTATGATGCCAATGATCTTCCTATGGAGTTCAAACCCTCAGTCAAGAATAGAAGAATGGAATTCAGGAGAATTGAACTGCTGTTCACATAGTTAGCGAACTTTTATATTCAGTCTATTGAATGGGTCTACTTGCATATTTGAGATTTAATTTGTTGCAATCTGAAATCATCTATCCAAACTAAATCAGATGCAAGTTCAAGGTTCAGTCTTTCCTCTGAAATCCATGCACAATTAGTAATTATCCTTTGTTATTAGTCTTCCACGGTACAGGTCATACTTGACTTTCAACCACATTGGGACCAGAATTTCTGTTGCTAGGCAAGGCGGTTGTTGAGTCTTGCCCAATTTTATGACCTTTTTGGCATGAGTGTTAAGTAGAACACAGCAGTTATGTGAGTTACGCCATCATTAATTGAATCCAGCTTCGCTGTTGACTTTGCTTAATTTTGCCAACTGGAAGATCACAAATGGCAATCACATGACCCTGGGACAATGCAGTCATCAGAGAACATGCAAGTTGCCAAGTGCTCAAATTTTGTTCACATGACAGTAGGGGATGCCGCAATGATTTTAAGTATGAGGACTGCTTGTAAGTCACTTTTGTTTGGTGCCATTGTAACTTTGAACATATGTTAAACAAATTGTAAGTCGAGGACTATCTGTACTAAATTTATTTGATTCATTCTTGGTCTGCAACATAGTCCTGTTCAAAAAAGTTAAATCCTCATCACTGACCTTAGATTTAATGAATCTTTTCTGATTAAACAGAAACTGAGCAATACATTATGTTAGATGGCAACAAAAATGTGAACATTCAAATGAAAGTTAATTTTAAAAAAAAGCAAAATACTTACATGGCATAGACAGTGAACATGTTAACAGATATACTCTCATGCTTACATTGGGCATTTACCTAATGATCCATGAGAAGCTGATGTCCCCAGGAAAGTATTTTCTGATTGGCTTAAGTGTCCCTGAGACTGATGGAGGAAATGCGATGATAAGCTGACCGGTGGAGAAGGAGAGGCAGAGTGAAAGGAGGCAGAACTTCCAAGGGACCCAGGGATATTTACAGGAGCAGAACTTTGCAGCAAACTCCCACCTGGACAAAGAACACACAGAAAGTATGGGAATGTAGAAGCCATGAACTATGAGTGGAAGCACAGCAGGAATTTGAACAGCAGGTGTTTGCTTCACTCTCTGCACCAGTAAAAGGATGGGTGAATCCAGAATATTCCTCTAATCTCTATCTTTCTACACCTTCAGAGCTGGTCTTATAAGAATTGTCCCTATGGCCAAGGAAGGTTAAAAAGTAAACTATTGAATGTTATCTGCAAAACACTAGGAGTTAGGGTTAGGGTTAGAGTTAAGAAACAGAAGTTCTCCAGTAAACAAAGGACAGCTTACAATCTAAGAGATATTTAGACAGCTGATTTTCAATTCTAATAGCTCCATAATGACACTATTTATATACATGTTTAAATTAATTAATTTTCTACTATCCACATTATGACAACTATAGTATCTAGTAATGATTATCATGTTTATATATCATAATTAGAATATAATTATGATTTATGCTTTTTTTCAGAACGGGAAAATATGTGTTCGTCAAATTATATAGATTAAGAAGTACATTTTTTCAAGAACAATCATTCAAATTAAATGGCATCTTCACTTTTTATAGTTTGTGCCAAAGATATTCTTGCAAGCTGAACCTCCCATTCCATCGTAAGGATAAAAGTTTGTTAAGAGACAGCAAATGGGACAGATTTCTGTATTCAGGCACTGGGCCAAAGGAAAAAAGGGAGCTTAATTTCTACCCAGAGAAACACACTCATACGATGTTATAGCAGAAAAGATCAGTAAAGTGATAGCCCAGCAATTATTTATGCTTCATATACAGGAAAGGGATCAGGGTAAATCACCTTCCCATTTGGTTAGAGGAGTCTCAGTTGCATGGCACAGTCAAAAAGAAATCAAACTTACTAGCCCATGAAAGTTGTTAGTGTTACAAGAATAATTTTTTTCTCAGTTTTAATAATGCTTGAGGACACATAGCACTACCTGTGAAAGATTCAAAATTAAAGGGACTCCTACATGGCGCAGAACTTCCCATCCTCCTTTTTTATCCTAAAAGTTGCAACTGTAGATCAACCAACCTGTTCTTCTGGCTATACTGAGATGACTTGCAAGGCAACAAAGTTTTCTGATAAATCTGAAAAACCAATTTCTCACTCATATATATATGAGACCAAAGAGGATGCTGCTTATGGGAACAAGGCCTAACTCTAAAGGAAAAGCAACACTGGGCCATATTCTCCATATTTATTTCCAAACTGATTTAGCCCAAACCAATATGGGCATAGCATTGCTGTCAAATGGTTTTAGGTTGAACACTATCTTCTCAAAGTAGAATTTTGGAGAAAGCAGACCTGAACATATACTGGGACCTGGTAGGCTAATTCTAATTTGCACAACTACTCAAATCTGAAGAAACAACTAAAGGACAGGATATGCTGAAATAAAACTATGTGTTGATGAAAGACAGTTGCAAACTCTTTTGCAATAAATAAATAAATAAATCATCTGATACCAAGGTGGTTTAAGCTAATGGATGTGCCTTTTAAAAAGGGAAGTGGCAGCAGTGAGCCAGGAGGCACTTACCAGTTTGCACAAAGTTTCAGTTCACAAAGAAATGTTTTGTCAATTGCTAATGGGATCTGTACACTTAGAATATAGCAAGGTTGCATAGACTATATTCACTTGAAAACCAGACATGGGGCAAAAAAAAAAAAGACACTGGTTTGAAATGACCACATACACGGGATGAAATACACAAGCGGTAGTTTGTCAATGTGTGGCGACATGCCTTGCCATGATCCTGTGACAGCAGAACAGTGATACCAATCCAATTTGTTTCCTACTATTTAAACCGATTTCCCCCCCTCTTCCATGATTGTCTTGTATCAGAATTTTGTGAACATGTTTAGTGTGCCACTGTTAAGATATTGTAAAGCAAAATAAGCCATGCCTATTTCGTAAACGTCATTGGGACATCAGAAACCAGTGAAATATATTTCCGATTTGCCGACCAATGTGGGTCCTTTGGCTCTAAGGTCCCGCATTGGCCGTCAACCAATGTCATGTAAGGGCTGGTTCTGAGAGCTTGCTAGGCTGCTTCAGCCAGCCGATGGGGCAAACCCTGCTTGGCAGAAGATCAAAGAAAGCTCTGTTGCTTTCATGTACCTATCATGATGCCACTCGTGTGGGGCACCGAGCTGCTGTCAAATGTCTTCTCCAGGGCAGCCACTCCGAATTCGTTCAGGTCCAGGTCATCCAAGGCAGACTCTGCCAGACAGAGGCACCAATTATATATTACAAAAAGGACCAACAACTTCAAGGAAAAGGGAAGTCCAAAGAGTTCACGAAGAGATGTCACTGCTCTGGACTGGAGAATCTACAATGCAAGGCTGCCATCAGTTGTTCAAATGATTCAGCTTTCAATATTGTTTTTTTGTTGCCTGATCTGAATCCTAAGTCTCTTCAGTATCAGGCTGATCCCATAGATTGACACTGGAAATAACAGCAATGCAAAACAGATCTCCCTGCACACCTGCTGTACAGCTTGACCTTGGGTAGAAGTACATCCAGGGTTGGCTTTCATAACAGGTGCCCGTCCCAGTTCACCTGGCAACCTAGGTGTCCATGATGCATAGTGATTGGAATTCACTAATCCTATACTTAAGAATTCCACCATGGAGAGCAACTTGGATTGCAATTAATGATAGAGGAGATGGCAATAGGAATGAGGTGCAAGTATGGTAGTGGAAAGAAGGGAAGTGTGTATAGCAGTAATATAAGTGGTTGTGTGTAGGTGGGGGGGAGGGAGGGGAAATGTATTAGCATATCCTATGAAACAGGCTATAGCCAGCAGTGGCCCAATAATGAGCCAGCCATGTAGCACGGACACTGCCAGTTGGGGATGAGATGGAGCAAACCTGCACAGGATCATCCCTGGGGGTATTCCTAGCCAATGTATTTAATGTCTTGTCAAATGTTGCCTTATAAAGCATAGCATGAGTTGTGCTATATGCGTGACATTTTTGTCGTTTCAGAAAGATAAAGACTATAATATAAATAATAAACAATTTTAGATACTGAAAATGGATGTTTCCCCTCCCTCACCCTCCTGCATAGTTTGCATTCAGTTTTGAAGTACTGCCTGGAAGGTTACTTCTTGAACATTTAGAAAGCACATAAAAGGATTTCAGATTTCCTCAGCAATTTCCTATTAGAAAGTGTAGGAAAGTCCCTGTCTAGAATTAAGAAACATATCCCCCACCAGATCCTTCGTAAGTGTTTTAATTTAGTGGCAAGAGTTGTCTCTTTTATTTGTATCATTCCAGGCCTGTAATAGAACATCAACAGTTAATAAAAATGATAATAGGTTACCTGGAGAATAAGAGACATGTATCAACCAATGCTAAATATCAATAATAATAATAGTCAATTGCAAAAGGCAGCTTTTACTTGGAACAGAATACATCCTGCGACAATACCTTTAATATCATTAAACAATATTTGTCTCTCCCAGGTTCTCAGGAAGGACTCAGTGGACAAAAATGCCAAATCCAGTTTAAAAATATGGCTGACTGTGCAATCAGCCATAAAAATAGCAATAATACATTAAAAAAAGAGAAATGGTAATCCTTGTATAATCTGCACTCTTACTCTTCTTGGAAAGTCTTAGAAATTTAAATATGGTAACATACGAACCCTTAAACAGAAATGTAAATAAAATCTTTTAAAAATTCTGCACTTGAAATGTTTTGTTATTGCTGTCATAAATTGAAAAGTTTCATCTTTTTAATATTGATAAAAACAGCTGCTCAGTAACAGATTATACATGTCACAGGACTCAATCTTTAGTGGATTGGCCCACACAATGGCACACTGAGCCAATCTGGTGAGTTATGAGTTTAGGAAATATAGGATATGATGAAGAACATCAAACAAGATCTACACACACATACAGTATACACAGAGATTTAGGAGCAATCATGATCTTCCACTGACCATCCTGTCACATTGTCTGCTCTAGCAAAAACAGCAGAGCCGTGTCACAATCCAATAAGTTTATTGTTGTATAAAAACTTATTCCACAATAAATTTATTAGCCTTTAAAAAGATAAAGGACTGCTTGTGGTTTTTGCCATATTTTTTTACAGAATTCAGCTATGGGAGCTGTTATTTAAGACTGTTCTATAATTTAATTTATGAAATATGAAAAGAGTTCATATTAAATGCAAGTCATCAGCCAAGTCACAAAGCAATAAAGCATAGTCTCTACTGTAAGTCCTCTAAATAAAACAACCAAAGGCTTCCCACCCATAATGGATATTCTTCTTCTGGATTCCCTGCACCATCAATGTGCATAGGCAGTATTACCTATCACGGACTCCACAGTGTCACTAGTTGGGTAGAAAGGAAGGGCATTGGCATTCATGCCTGGTATACTGCTGGTGCCTGCTGGACTTGGTGGTGTTGCTGCCAAACTAGAAGTAATGCTAGAGGAGATGCTAGATGTCAGTGGACTGCCAACTGGAAGAATCCCTAATATATCCTGAAAGAGGAAAATACATTCATGTATTGATGTATTGAAAATACACTCATGTATTCCTATGATGCAACAGAATATTCAGAGAGAAGTAATGATATACTTGTCATAAAGTATTTCTTCCTAACATTTATATCTTACACCCTTTAATTCTAAGATACACTCAGGGCAGCTGATTGGTTCTTAGCATTTAATACAACAAAGTACAACACAACACAATAAAGGAAGACTGTTTGGGACTCTTTTAGAACAGAATAACAGAGTTGGAAGGGACCTTGGAGGTCTTCTAGTCCAACCTCCTGCTCAAGCAGGAAACCATATAACATTTCAAATGGTTGTCCAATCTTTCGTTAAAAGCCTCCAATATCGGAGCACCCACAACTTTTAGAAGCAAGTCGTTTCCACTGACTGTTAACAGTTCACGTATATTGTCAGCTGCATCACACCATTAAGTTATATAATTCATGATGACTGTGTATAATCTTGCCATTCAAAATTCAAAAGAGACCTAAAGGAGATTTGTGAATTGCAGTGAACCTTCCTCCAATAATATATCTAGCCCAAGCGGTATTCAAAAATTGAGTTTGTGATTTTCTATTCACACCAGCTTCATATTATTTTTGTATTATCTGAAAGAAACCAGACTGATTCTCAAACACTTAGGAAAGTGTCAACACCCTTTCAACTCCAATTAACTTTTCACATATACCACCAACTGAAATCTACACAGGAGACTATATGGGCCTCTAGAAACTAAGCAGCCTTCCCAGGAGTAACCTACCTGCTTGGGTTGTAACAGAGGTTGTTCTTGGGTTCTATGTTCCATGGAATGGGATTTGATTTTTGCCTGCTGCAGTAAATTAGAAGGGGGGAAAAAACATTACATGCTACTGAAATTGTCAACTTCTTCAGATGTTTACAGTACTTTCTCTCTTATTCCGTTGCTTTCTGTAACATTAAGTTCTACAAAGGAAAGAACCAGGGAGCTTCCTGAAGCTAGCAAATGAAAGATATTACACCAATACTTTCTCTTTTCTTTAATATCTATTTTTTTAAAACTAGAAGAGATGGGATAAAATGATAGTGAAATATAGGGTGGTAACAAATGGAAGACAATGTTGTTTGTATAGATTTAAAAAGTTCTGTAAAGGGGAAAGAAAATCTGGGAATGCTATGCCTAAAGATGCAAATTGAGTTATGCAAATTGGGCTTGAGTTATGTGCATAATTGTTGAAGGAAAATAAGAATTCTTTTTTTCACAATGGTCATTAAATGAGGCAGCCAGTAAGCAAGAACTATTCTGAATAAATTCTCATTTGCTTATCTAAAAGATGAATTTATATTTGCATAACTTTTACTTTGGTCTACTTTATGACTCATTTCTGAAGCTTCCAAGTCTAATTGATGTGTAAACAGAGCAAATAGCTTTATTCTGAATATACTTTTCCAGACTTCTAATTCTTTTTGTTTTTCTCTAAAATACAAATACTTTCCAGCAACGGCATTCTCTCTTCCTCAAAAGCCTCTTCATACTTGCTTGCTTTTACGCTTGCTTTTACGTACGTTCTCATGACCTGCACCTCTTGGATTCCCACATTATATAGCAGGGGTCCCCAACCCCCATGTCCATGGACTGGCACCGGACCACGACATGCCAGAAACCAGTCTGCGCAAACAAGAAAGCCTCATTCTGTTAGCACATGAAACTAAGCCCACTCCAGTCCGCAGAAAAATCTCTCTCCATGGAACCGGTCCCTGGTGCCCAAAAGGTTGGGGCCCACTGCTATACAGAGATCGATGACAGGAAGTTTGCAACGATTGTGTATGCATTACTTGACTGCATTGTCAGTCCTAAAACCAATTTACATATGTTAGTACTCTTATAGCAACCACCATTGCAGAGACAGGGAGGTATTTGCCACACCATTTTTTCCTTTTTTTCTGAATGACTGGGTCTACTTCAAAGAAGTGTATGCCTTTCAATTCACTCATCACAGTCATTTTCTAACAATGATGCTACTAGGCTCATGTGGCATGTAAGGGCTTTCTAACAATGATGCTACTAGGCTCGTGGCATCTAAGGGCATTCTGCTTATGGAATACAAAAGTTATTCCAAGGAAGTAAAAAGCATACTGCAAGGCATCTCTTCATTTTGCAACTTGCAATAGAACAAAAACTAATATTAATGTAGCTTTATAAAATTAGGATAGACAGGCAGACCCTAAGGGATTTATCTGCAGATATTAAGGCACCCATAGACTACACATCTAACATGAAGTATCAACAATTGGTTCCATAGCTAATATGTTATCAGTAATGATATCAACATATCATACATGCATGCATGCATACTTGGATACATCCAATATCCTTTTCTAGGAATTTACACCTACTTGGCATTTGAAATTCTTTAGATACTCTGCTCCAACCAGGTCTTCCCGTTCAAATCCAGGTGCCTTCTTATAGCTACTTGCAGTAGTTACTGAATCTGTGGGGAAACCTATGCTTTCCAAACTATGGGGTTTTCCAATTGCACCAGGAGGGGATCCACATAAATTAGATGGGCTTCCAAGACTGCTATTTCTACAGAGGATCTAACAGAAGCAGGAAGAAAAGAAGATGATAATTTGTGTATTAGATTATAACACTCTCTACCTCTGTATCATAGCTGATAGTAAACTTCTAAAAGCTACCGTATTTTTCAGAGTATAGGATGCACCGGAGTATAAGACACTAAGACGCACCAAGGTTTTGAAGAGGCAAATTTAAAAAAAGGTTTTGCACTCTGCAAACCTTCCAAAAATGGCCTGTTTTTTTGCGGAAACATGCCTATTCCCCCCCCCCCCAAAGGCATGAATAGCCTTTAGGGGGCTTGCAGAGTGCTCCTGGGGAGGGGCAAAACAAGCAAAAAACGGCCCGTTTTTCACCAAAAAAATTGCATGCATAGCCTTTAGGAGACTTATAGAATACTCCTGGGGGCTGGGGGGGGGAGGAATTGAGCAAAAAACGGCCCATTTTTTACTCATTTATGCCCCCCTCAGGCCCCAGGAGGTCTCTGAAGGCCCTCTACAGGCTATGGACAGCCATTTTGGTGAAGGGGCGGGGTTTCAGGAGGCAAAAAATGCTGTATTCAGTGTATAAGATACATCCAGATTTTCAGCCTCTTTTTTGAGGGAAAAAGGTGCATCTTATACTCTGAAAAATACGGTAAGTTGTTAAATTCAATCAGGTTACTGAGATATAAAGATAAAGGTAAAGGTTCTCCTCGCACATATGTGCTAGTCGTTCCCGTGCTAGTCGAAGAGCCAGCGCTGTACAAAGACGTCTCCATGGTCATGTGGCCGGCATGACTAAATGCCAAAGGCGCAGAGCGCCTTCCCACCAAAGGTGGTCCCTATTTTTCTCCTTGCATTTTTACATGCTTTCGAACTGCTAGGGTGGCAGAATCTGGGACAAGTAACGGGAACTCACTCTGTTACGTGGCACTAGGGATTCAAACCACCGAACTGCCAACCTTTCTTATCGACAAGCTCAGCATCTTAGCCACTGAGCCTTTTACTGACATATAGAAAGACACAATTTAATAAAAGTCCAAACAATGAAATTTTGCCTCTTAGAAATCTCGAGCATTTTTTTTCATCAAAGCCTATATTTTTAAAGATGAGAATGTGTTCACTGCAACTTTGATTGTTCTCTGTAGTTCATATTCTTTAATAGCTTTCTGCAACTCTCAGAGATCCAGATACGGCATGAACTGCCGCAATCTCAATCGATCATATAAATTTCTAATGCAAAATCAAGTACATTTTTTTACTGTAAATTGATGCTTTCCTGTTCATAATGGTTTGGAATTCTCACAGTGGAACAAGTATAACCATGAAATATGTCCTGCTTCTGCTTCAGAAAACAGGTAATTTGGAGATGCTTATCACAATAAGGGAGGGAATATGTTATCCAGTTCAAAATAATGCCTCTTCCCCTAGAGAAAATACTTACTGTAGTAGAAGTAGGGCTAGTTGGTAGAGTTCCTGGTTTATTCCATACCTAGAGTGCAAAGATAAATGAAACACATCATACGTGACATTGGCTGCAGATTTCTAGGAGATACGCAGGTTTACTCACTTGGGTGTATTTTTAATTAAAATAAGCTTTATTCTTTCTGTCAGCTATATTACATATATAGTATATGTCACAGTACAATACAAATTCGGTTGTAAGATCTCATACAGTATTATAATCTACTCTTCAAAATCCCCCAAAGTGAAAACTTATGCTAGGTAGTAGCAATTCCACTTCTAAAAATTGGTTGGATCTATTCAATTGAAAAGTGGGCAAGATTCTGCTGAGGAATAACTAGAACTAACTAACATAATTTGTACAATTTAAATGCTACAAAGATGCTGAGCCAGCTCTGAACCTGCTAATCCTAAATTTTTATCCAGAAGAGGTGTAGGCAACCTATGGGCCACGAGCCACATGCAGCCCTAGACAGCTAATAATGTGGCCCCACAAGATCATAAACTTTAAACATTATTATGTGTTATTTATATACCTTCACTATATTACACGTTTTAGCTGCAGCCCAAGAATAATTCCTGTTCACTCAACATGGCCCAGGCAAGCCAAAAGGTTGGATACCCAAGATGTAGGTGTCAGATCTGGAAGCCATTTTTTACATTTGGGCCTAAAGGCTTCCAGGTCTGACAGTAGGAGCAACTGCCCTTATTCACAAATAAAAACTCAAGCTTTTGGGATGAAAAAGTGTCAGCAATGTTCTAAGCTTATATTTAGAGAGAACTGTGGTATCACATGCTCAGTGAGGAATTTTGTATCAATTTTACATACATTGCTAAGGTCTGGGGCTTGTGGACTAGAAGGGCTGACAGGAACAGAATCGCCTGCTGCTGAGGGCATGTACATTACAGGACCAGCTTGCGTTGGGCTAGAGACAGCCGATGTTGGCTGTAAATCTTCACTAAGTGGAGGTTCTATAGGAAACAGAACAAAACAAACCATATGATAAATACAGTTACAAAAATGGGTTCACAACAACTCTGTAAGAGCAAAGGGTAAACAGGCAATGCCCAATACTGATTCTAACGAGCTAATCTTCCACCTGCAGCAATCTACAAACCACTATAGAAAAAACAAAAAGGCATCACGAGACTAAGGGAGAGAATGTAATGTCTTCCTTTTTTTTCTATACCAATAGTCTTAAAGAATAGCAGTTACATATTCATAGTAGCTGTTTCAATTAGGCTTTATGCTGCCCTAGTTTATTATGCTTATAATTATTTATTCAATGTATATTCCACCTTTCTCCCTAAAGGGCCTTCAAGACAACTAACAATAAAATATAAATTTGTTAAATGAATCAGACTGGAAAGGTCTGGCTGAAATTCCTTTCATATTGCCGGAAAAGACCTAATGGTAACTTTAATATAAAAGCAGGTTCATACTGACATAAAAATGTAACACCCCCCAAACTATGTGTGTTTTCAAAAATTAAAAACGCTTTTATTTTTGACTGAAAAACAACTTTCAAAATGGACATAAAATGATCACAGAATTGTTTACCGGTTAGTAGACTGCTTATTTATTTTCGAGCTTAAAAATAGCTGAACTCTCAAAACATATGCCCTATCTATGAGTTCTTTCATGAGACATTGGCTTTGCATATATTGTCCCATTGCTTGTTCGAAAAGGCCAACAACCTTTATCCTATTCTCAATGCAAAAGGTTGTCAGGAAGAGGCCTAATCTGAAAAATAATGGATACACAATATTTTGAAATTCTGGAATTTGGGGTGTACAATAAGTGAAGCACATTTAGTAGTAAAAAAAAAAACCACTCCGGTCTAGGATGGCAACCTCTTGAAGGCCTGTGCTTCTGTTCCACCTTTTTCTGTCTCAAGTGATTATCCTTGTTAAAAAGAGAAAATAGACCATATAAACAGACGACTGAATCATCTGGATGCTCTAGGCCAGTGGTTCTCAACCTTCCCAATGCCGTGACCCTTTAATACAGTTCCTCATGTTGTGGTGACCCCCAACCATAAAATTGGTGTCTCGGTTCCTAAGACCATTGAAAATATGTGCTTTCCGATGGTCTTAGGCAACCCTGTGAAAGGGTTGTTCGACCCCCAAAGGGGTCCCAGCCCATAGGTTG